GGCATCAGAGACTACCACAAGCCATCCTGTCCCGCCATCATCATCCCTCCCTGCCACACACACTCAAAAAAGAAGCCCAAAGGCTGAAGACAGTTGTTCTCTCAACAGTCTACTAACCACAGTGTACATCATCTTAGAGTACTAGGATTTACTGAAAGTCTCACCATTCTAGTCATTAAGAGGTAGTCAGAAGAGCTTTTTTTTTTTTTAAGCAAAAAACCAAGGTTCCTGTCCTAGTCTAGTGCTTTGTCCCTTTAGATGATGCCAGTGGATTCAGTTCTGTTCTCAAATGATCTGTTGCTCAATTACACTAATAAAATTTTGTTCTTGTATGGCATTTTCAAGGGTCCTTATGAAATTTGGGTATAGTTTTATTTTAATTTCCCTCCCTAGCAGAACTTGCAATTTCTGTTTAAAAAATAAGAACTTTTAATCAATAACTGGTATTTAAAAAGCACAAAGTGTTCAATATGTCTGCATACACCAGGAAAAAAAGATAAGAGGCATGTGTTTAACTATTATATTTCACATTTAAATTTCACTGAAGCAGAAGGGGGAAAGTCAGAATTCACTAAAGATAGCCATACCTCTAATTCCAGATCCTGAGGTTCTGTTTCAGAAAGTGGAATCACTGCAATCTTTGTTATTTTGCAAACCTCATGGTCTCCTGGAAGTTTGCCAATCAATGCTTTCTGACGAATTAAAAGTAGCCACCATGGTAAATCTGGAAAAAGATTAGTAGATGCTTTGATTTGTCTGTCAGGCATTTACTTTGATTAGTCTGACAGAAGCTTCTTCTCCCCAGTGTAAAACCCCTGCCAGGAACCATTTGACTAGAAGACTCCAATGAATGACAATTCGTTAGTGCTAAGTTTTGTTATACATTGCAATTAAAAAAAAAAACTGTAAGAAAAAAGACAAACACTAAAAAACCCAATACTTATTATATTAGAGACTGAATAAGGAGATTAACTATTTCATAGACCTACCTATTAGAGGTAAAGTTACCACTGCTTCATCTATAGCAACTAGGCAACCTCTAGGATGATGCATATTCCCACCAATGTCACTAATAGCATTACAATTTGAAAAGAATAGCTGGAACTTAACAGACAGCAAGCTAAGATTTTCCCTTTGTACCTTCTGTTGTGTATAAAACAGCAAACAGGACAAACACAGGTAACATGATTACAAGACTCATGAGTTAAGAAATCTGGTGAGCAAACATTGACTGCATCATAAAGCAGCTCATGTACGTTTAAAGCTTCACAACATCATTCCTGAAGTATATGCATCTAAGTGGTGTAGAAGTTAACCAGCCAAAGATTAATGAAGGTGCATTCCATACACACATTCAATCTACAATATTTGCAATGATAGCTTCAACACTTTAAAGAGACAGAGAAACAGAACAACAAACATTCCCACTGACTGCTGAATAGTGCCTGGACATTAGCTTCCTAGATTTTAATCCCTTGGTTAGATCAGTAGCATGCTGGGCTTTTATAAGTCAAAAGTGAAAGTTCTGTTAAGAGAGAAGGAAGAGGCACAGAAAGTCTTAGAGACACACGTATACACTCACTATTTCTCCCAACTGAGAAGCAGCCAACTGAGTTTAACTGAAGAGGTCATATACAGACATTAAAAGCCTGCTATGGTAGACTTAAATATGCTTTCACACTTTGACAGTAGATTGTGTCATATATTATGCCTTTGAATAGAATATAGAGTCTTTGAAAAAAATCTGTTTAGAGGCTTTATAGCAAATACAAAGTCTGTTTTCCTTGCTCAGTAAATTCTAAACAGTATTTTATCCTCTGAGTGCTTAAAAAGACCCAGGATAACGTGTTTAAAGTCTGTTCTCCCCTTCCCAGATTTTCCAATATACTCTCAGCATAGAATTAAAGCTCTATCAAAGTTGTGAGCATCTTTCCAATAACTATAATTTAAAAACCTTGAACACTTCAACCCAAATCTGACAAGACATGTATAAGTAGCAGTTTCTTCTATCTAAGAGGAATAATCACTGTAAATAGACTACTGTGCATTATGACACTCCACCCCTTACTTTGATTCTATATTACTATCTTTAGAAAAGAGATGTGCTTATGTTGGGTATTAAGAAGCCTTTAAAAATTACAGATCCTCATAATTACAAATGCACTGTGACAACCAGAGGCTGCCCTCCAAAAAGGGAGGAGGGGAAAGGGAATGAAGACATGCACCACTTACTTAATGTATGTGATCTTCTAAAGGGAGTCCTGCACTACTTCCTGAAAGCAGCATCAGAATCATAATCTCTACAGGATAAGAGACAAGTCAGGTCGGAAGGGATCTCAGGATATCACCCTGCTCAAGCAGGGTCAGCTCTGAGGTTGGACCAGGTGACTCAAAGCCACGACATAAGCATAGTCTCCTAAAAACTAGTCAAAGGATAACAAATAAGGACAAGAGAGTGACAGCAAATGCCAGCAAGACAGTTATCCTCACTGACAGCAGGTGCTGGAAGAGCTTTTCTGTACAGGTACAGGCAACACGACTTGGAGAACACCTGCCTTTGTCTCCAGCATTCCACCTAGCAACCATGGGGGTAAGGTGGAAGCCAGAAAAGGGAAACTAAGAAAAACAGGACAGATTCTATGCAACAGTAAGAAGACCAATGAATAGGTAAGAAAATCCTTTTAAAAGGGGGAAATTTAAATGCTACCAAAAACACTAGCAACAGATGAAGATGTCTACCGCTTCATCTAAAAAGAAGGTCTACTATTTTCTATATTGCTGTCCAGTAGGCAAAAACTATATAGTCTCTGGAAACCCAGGGCAATCCAAGCTTAACAGAAGGGTAGTACAACAGGGCATCCAGACAGATATTCCTGTTGAGCAGTCCTATAATCTCATCATTCCCACCTACAGAAGGTTAGCCACACAACTTACTCCTATGAGGAGATCACCAGTGTACGTCAATAAACAGAACAGATACTCTTTTAAGAAAGGATACCATCTAGACCTCCAGTGAAATAATCAATATGATTCCATTGGAAAGAAGTAAAGGCATTTCTAAGCAGATACACCTCAGTGAAAACTGGAAAAGAAAAAAAATCTCCGGCTACTCTTCAGTTTACCTCATATTAACAAACGCTGGTAGCAGTAAACAAGAACTTAAAAGCTTAAATACAGCCAAGTCTTTTATCCTTTTTAAGAAGGCACTCAAAGTCATCTTGGTGTACATTTCAAAACACTATTTGTATTACAGCCAGAGCCACAGAACATTGAAAGAAAACAGGAACTCCCCAGCAGATCAAAAAACAGTCAGGAAGTAATTATACAAATAAAGTATGCCCTAAAGTAAAAGCTTCAACAATAGCCATAGAAGAAGCATATTATAATTGCCAGCAATATCTAAATAACTGAATCCCTAAATAGAGTATGTGCTTCTGCAGTTCAAAAAGTAGTTCCATAGAATAGCTTTAAAAAAAAGATTAGTTATTGTCTACTCAACGTGGGAGGTATGGTGTGTATAGGAAAAGAACACTACAGCTATATGTCATTCCAGAAAAGTGCATGTTTTAAAACATCTTAAGATCTAATGTTCATTTTTAGTATTTTATGAACTATGGCAGAGCAGATGGCAACTACTAATTTAAAATACTATATCTAAAGTAAGCTATTACCTCCCATTCCTCACTAAAACAGGAATTTAGCTCCTCTGTCAGCACACCACTGCTGTTTATTTCCTCTAACACTTCCCAAAAAACCTAGCATTTCATTTCCCCAAATGCTTTTGCAGTAACTTTTCTTAAACTGTGCATAAGTTTACTATAAATGCTGATTTTTGCAAGTATTTTCATTTTAGCCAAGAAATTCTATGCTACCATTTTCTTATTTACTTGAATAACTTAAAAATTAGTTGCATGCAAAAAGAATGTTTTAAGTTGTTGATTGGATGAAGTTAGAAATGGCAGCAGTTACATCTCATTGAAGATATTTCAGATGCTGAACCACTCACTGTTTCTATCAAGATTCAGAGGCATGCTAACAAAAAAGCTTTCCTTTCCTGGGGATAGGGAAGGAGGAACTCCACTTCCCTTCTGTTTACTGAGTATGCGGAACCTTGCCAGCAGCATTTCATTTGGGTCTTAATTAACCATCACTGGAAGAGCACACCATATTGATACAAGTACAGACATTAAACTGCGCAGGAGTGTGCTTTGACCAAGAAACAGAAAAACATGTGGTGGCAATGAATGAGTTAAGTAGAAGTTGCTGGAACTGGTTAAGAAATCCAGTTTTGGTTATAGTTAGATATACAGTATTAACTCGGAGCATATTTTAGCACTACAATGTTTGATCAACTTGCTAAGTAGTCTCTGATCAAAAGTAATTCAATTTCAGGCTACCATTACCATTTTAATGGATTAGAGTATCTACTTTTTATTCTAACAAAAAAAAAATAAATTACACAACCTCTTTCTAGTTCCGTATTGGGATTTTGATGAAAGGAAATTGAGTGGCTACACTTATATTTTGTATGTATGCACACTAACTGGACCACAAAACAATTAATATTCTATAAAGGATATTGCTTATGCAAGAGATGTGCTTGCCTCTATACGGGAAGATCATGCAGAGACAATTTTCATTGTGCATCTGTACCAAGAAAATGTTTCAGTAACTTATCTCCACAACACACCTTAAAATCCTTTTCCTTCTGTTCTCATTTCTAGTCCACATTTTCTTACAAGTCATCTTAGGACAGGCCAGAAAAAGGTAAGAGACCATATCCTTGCATTCTGATATTCAATTAAGGTTTTGTTGTTTGGGGTTGTTTTTCTTCCCCCAAAAGCATCTTAATGTTTAAGAAAATTCAGTATTGGGGAAGAACCAAATGATACTTCAAGTAGATTTTCATCTCTGATGTGAGTGTACAGTTATGTCCAGATGTACAATTGACCCTCTCATGGCAAAAATTCCTTAAAGAATTAAAAAATAAACCCTGTAATATTGGCTAGCTGGTTTCTACGGGACTGCTTCCCTGTCACAGAAGCTTTTCTACAAATTCTGCTGTACTAGGCCAGCAACAAAACCAGCAAGATTAAGAGTAAATTAAATCCCATCCCTAGTTACAGCAATTTGGCAAGAGTATTTCAAGGCTAAATTAAGAACAGCCCAAGACTGACTACAAGGACATTTCAAGGTCATCTTAGGACTACTCCAGCAAATCTTTCAAGAACGTATAAGGATTTATGCCCAAGACATTAAAGTGCATATAGGCTCAGTGACAGCTTTAGAGTGCACTGGTAAGCAACTTCAATACTTAAAAAGGTATTTGAAGTTTCCAGTATTAGTCAGTATGCAGTAAGCATTTTAAAAACACACCAGTACTTCTTTCCAACAATAGCTAATAACAAGGTTCTGAGCAGGACAAGCTCATACAGCATTTTAGCTAGCCAAAAGAGCTCCAAATTAAGTTTTCTGATCCTTGCAGTCTGGGGTCAGGGGAGAAGAAATCAGAGCAACAAGTCCTCCTGTTCCAGATCAGCTCTGGGAGAAAAGCATTTCGCCCAGCTTCCACAGCACAGTACTCTTACTAAGTCTGGAGATAATGGTCCAGCAATGTTAAATATTTATACAACTTCTGCTGATAAAGTTTCCAGGTGACAAAGATTGATACAAGAATAAGTAATGAAGACAGGTTACTGTTACAGAGTGCTAGATGATTCAGCTAGAGGATTACATAAAACTACACTCGAATATGATCAAGTGAGAGTTCATTGACAACAACAGGTTTCAAGAGACCTATGCAAGACATCTCAGTCAGCCCTCTCATTTTGACTGCAGCCTGATGGAGGACACTCATCAGCAACTGTCAGCAGATTCGAGGGAGCAGTAGTTCTCAGCAGAAGAGTAAGGATAAATAGCTGGAGATTGTATCTTTCTGCAGACATTTAAAGGTAGAAAATAAATGTCTGTTTACAGGACAGTTGCATTACTGAGTACCAGAATATCGACAACAAGGATAGTCTATGAACAGTTTGTGATGCTGTTATCTGAAGAAGGCAGAGCGGAAACAAAATGCTTCCACTGCCTAAGCAGCAACTGAATGGAGTGCCTGGATGAGCATAATTGATTCAGTAGCTCTACAGGACACATGGAAAGAAGACCAAGTATCAGGCTTATTACCTGATAATCTTAATTTACTTGACAACAGCAAGCTGGCACCTGTTAACAGGTCACATGCTGGGGAAAGTTTCAACTCAGCTTTCGTAAGCAGAGGAAGTGCCTCACAATAAGCACACATGCAAGGATATTCGGTTGCCATAACATACTAGACCTTCCAGAAAACATTTGACAAGGTCTCCCCCTTCAAAGGCTTTTATAGTAGACTCCCTAGAGAGGGGGGGGAAGGCCTTTGTGTACCTAAGTGCTTGGTTTAAAAAAAAAACCCACACACACAACACACAAAAAACCATGCTAAAAACAATCATTGAGCATTTTCCCATAGCAGAAAAACGTCATTACTGGAGTTTAGCCATCATTCATCACGAACAGCACATGCTGAACAGTACAGACAACCTGAATGAGAAGAGAAAGTGAGATGGCAGAGTCTGAACCACTTCATATCATCAAATTTGAAAACGGATGGCTGAACAGATCTGTAGAGTGAGCACAGACAAAAATATCAGGTGAAATCCAAAGATGAAGAAGTGATGCAACTGGAAAGAGGACATGATCATAAATTTCATGGAGAGGTGGGCTCTGAACTATTACTCTCAGAAACAAGACCTAGGGGTTACAGGAACTATGGAGCCAAGGATCATTTCCTAGAACTAGATCTGCCATACACTCATGCAGTGGTGTACCAGTCCCTGTCTTCCTTCCTCCCCTATTGCTAGTATGCCACTGCCATCTTGACTAATCTGCTCCTATTCAACGGACCACAAACATCTGATCCATTTCAGCACTTAATCCACCCTGCTATCGTGGAACACACTTGAAACTTTACCTGTATTGATCATATTGCCAGGCACTACTTTAAATGCAGGGTCTAAGCATTCACAAGAAGAACAGCACACAGTTAAGCGAACCAGAGTTTATGGCTAGCTTTCCTACCTGTAAACAAACAGGTATCCAGAGCTCTACTGGCAGAAGAATCTTTCTAGACAAAGCTGGTATATATCAAAATAAATATTTATTATGGCTAAAGCAATTTACAGCTGACTAAAGCTAAAAGATCGTTGATCTTATTTTACAGAAAAAAGTTACTAGAATCAGTTAGAGACCGGCTTAACATTAAATCACAATGCATTCTAAGTCTTCTTTCATTTTATAGCTATATCTTACATTTAACTACAAATAAGTTTAAGTGTTCCTTTTACTTTCAAATAGTCATCTACCAAGGTAGTAATTATTCAGGTTTTCATACAGCATTGACAATTCAAGCCTTATATTTTTGTGAAAGCTTCCATCATTAGTTTTTGCACTGTACCATAGAAGAACAACAAAAAATTGCTTGAAAGGATTACTCAAAAAGGTGCAAGAATTTGCACATAGAGCCTCAGATAGAACTTCAAACACAAATTTCTACTCTTTGTGAATGCAGTTCTCCATTGTTACATGACAGTGACGAACCAAAATACATACACTGGAAGTAGAGGGAATTTGCATCTGCAGCTATAATATAATCACTTTGACAAGTTCACATAGTTGGGGAGTACTCCTCCATTGCAAAGAACACTACATAATTCCATTTGAGCCACGCAGTATTATTTATAGTACCACTGATTTTAAAACAAAGTGCAGTAGCAGTAAAAAAAAAAATTAAAAAAAAGAAAACCAAGAAAACCCAACCACATACCTGTATGAAGCTGAACTTTACCAATGACTCCCTCTACCAGGCCAAGGCAAATGGGATTCCAAGCCAAAAGAAGATCAGTGGCTGCAAAAAAGAACAAAACTCCTGTTTTTTTAAAGTACATTCAACAGGACAATTAATCCAGTGATGGTCATAATCTCCACTTCCCCATCTAAGAGAGTAGAAAATAGACCACAATTCCTGCAACAAGAGTAAGATACATATGCTGTTCAATTTTTGTTTATTACCAAGTAACTATGACCCAATTACTGAATTTCTAATTTAAAGCCCTACCCCAGATATTTCCCAGATATTTCAGAAAAAACAACATAATTGTTTTGGGCTATGTTAATTCAGTTTAATGGAGGCTTAATTCTTCTAATATTCATTAGAATTTGTAACTTAACTGAAATTTTACACAGCTATAGTGAAATTGAATACAGGTCATTAAGTTAATAATGTAGCCTCAAAAACCTAGCAGATGTTAACTTTCAGCCCCAGCTCTCTCCCATACCTATCCAATTACTATTAGTTCCACATCTTCTTTCTACATACATGCACAAACACACACATTTCCTCTTTTGTTAAAATACTCTCAACAACTACATGGAACACCAAAGTACAGAAAGTTAAGTTTTTAGGTTTCTAGTTCTCCTACTGTTAAGAAATTCCAGTGAACTACATAGGAAGTAGAAGAGAAAGCAGGAAGGCAACACTGTCAACTTTCTAATCTGTGAAAGGTACTCCTCTCAACATGCATTCAAGCCATCACTTGATGCAAGTCAGTAAGATAGTATAAACGTGAAGAGTATCCTGTGGTCACAGACACACATTGTTGATACTCAGTAAGAGTTTCTAACAGTGGTGTAGTACCTGTTCAAGAGTTCAAGACTGTGGGAAAGAATAAATTTCATAAGTCAAATCTTTTAAGTGAAAACAAATCCTTAAAAGGAATTGATATCTGTGTAGGAGAGAACAAATTCACAAAGCCAAAGGAGAAGAGAAGGTTTTTCTATACCAAGAAGGACAAGCAGCTTGTTATTATCTACTAAAACTCACTTGTTCCAAGGTGGAAGAGTTTCTCCAGTTTTAACATCCAGACAAATTAAGTACCTTAGCTCCTGGTGTAAGTAGATGAACATCTTTGCAATTGACTTCCACATTCATATTCGGTGTAAGTAGATGAACATTTGAAAGAACAAACTCACACAATATCTTAAGACACAGAGAGTACAAATCACCCACCCACACACACTTTATTTACAAGACCTCAGTTTCTTCTTGGAAGTCTGAGATCTGCAGGTGACAACTGATAGTCAGTTTGATACTTTTTCCGTACTTATTTTCAAACACTGTATCCTCCTTGAAATATTTGTAATTGAGGCTTTGCTATTCCAAGAACACACATTTATTCTGTCTTTCAGCATAACATTTAATAGTAAACCAGACTCAGCTAACTTCATCATTAAATACAAGCATTTACATGAGATACAATAGAAATGGTTTAAGTCAGGATAGGTCTAAATTGAACTCATTTAAATGGGATGTATCACATGTGCTTGTACACAGACAAGCAAGAACTAAGAGCACATGGTAGCAGAATTTAAAGCAATATTTGCAGAAGGCAGTACAGAGCTACAATTAACGTGTAATCAGGCCATACCATTTAATGGATTATATCTGCAGCGAAACTCCTGGTTCTTCCTGTTTCACTGTAAGAGTGCTACAGACAGTTACTTGATCTGTACAGAACCTAGTATGAATCTTACCATACTTAAATGAAGTTCTTAAGGAGACTAATACAGATAGATGAGCACCAGGAAATAAGTGACAGTGGCTATGACCGCGTGAACAGTTTGATTTACCCTCAAACCTTGCTGAAGTACCTGAACTCATCTTGTATCCGTATGCCAAAGACTCGTGCTCATACAAGTTCTAGGACAGCCTGAGCTCAGAGTTTCAGTCCAAATAACATGCAAGAGCATCTGCATGTTGAGTGGAAAGTCTACACTATCACACTTACAGGGAAGAGGAACAGAGGCAACCTTCCTCACTCCCAAATCTTCCACCTTCTTTCCCAGTTCACCCACACAATCCCAGAGTCTTGTCTTCACCCCTGTGAATTTTCTAGAGCTGTATTGTCTCACACTTCATCTACTTTTTGCTATCTTTGCAATTGACTTCCACATTCATAT